TCCTCCTCCTCCTCCTCCTCCTCCTCCTCCTCCCTCCTCCCCTCCTCCTCCTCCCCTCCCCCTCCCTCCCTCCCGTCCGATCGACCAGGACGGGATATCATCTTGCGGGCTCCTGGTAACTCCTGAAATCTCCTGGGGCTTACTGAGGTCTCCTGGGGCCTCCTGAAACCTGCTGGGACCTCCTGGGGCCTCCTGGGGTTTCCTGGGGTCTCCTGGGGCTTCCTGGGGCGTCCTGGGGTTTCCTGGGGCCTCCTGGGATCCCTGGGGCCTCCTGGGGTTTCCTGATTCATGTTGGGGCATCCTGGAACCTCCTCAGGAGGGAGACGGGATAATGGCGAGGGCCTTCGATGTCCTCGCCATCGTCGTCGTCGTCGTCGTCGTCGTCGACGTCGTCGTCGTCGTCGACGTCGTCGTCGTCGTCGTCGTCGGCGGCGGCGTCGTCGTCGGCGTCGGCGTCGCCACCGCTATCGTCGATGCCATCGTCGTCGTCATCGCCACTGCGCGTTTTGATAGATAAAGGGTGCTCTGGACGTCGTGAGAGCAACTCGAGCGTCGTCGTCGCCGTCGTCGTCGCTGCCGTGGAGATGTCGGGCACGGGTTGGGGTGTGAGGCCCGTTGTCGCCGCCGCCGCGGTGCGGTCGTTCCGTGGTTCAAGCAATGAGAAATGTACGTAAACCCATTGTGATTTCCCGTGGGACCGTCCAGAATCGCGCCAACACGCACCAATTGTTAATGATGTTTCTGTTGCGCCGGCGATTATGGAAGCGTTTTCGACACCCCCAGGCCGCCCCGATTATGTAGAAATACTCCGAAACCTGAGGTTTCAGCATGATTTTGGACGGCCCCACGGGAAAACTCATCGGTTTTTATACATCACGGTCGGAGCTTCGAGGCCTCGACGGCGCATCCCTTTGTTGTATGTAAATTTGTGTGGCACTATATGCACGACGTATTCGCAATTGTATGTGCATGGGACGTATACTTTGCATATATGTATATATACGACATATATATACATATATATATATGTACACACATATATATACATACATATATTATAATATATATATATGATATATATATATATATATACATAGATATATATATTAGTATATAATATATCATAGTATATAAATGGATGTGTACACACATATATACACACGATCGTGCATACACGCCCACGGAAACAAGTACCTCAATGGCGAATGCAATACATCAGGAACATCATTCGCGCTATTCGCACGCATCCAGTAACTGAAAGAAGTCACAAACCCGAAGACGACCAAGCATATGTTATGTCAGGAAACCGACTAGGTGAAAGGATATGGCAATCGTTTTTCATCCGATAGCACCCACTGCTACTCAAGTTCATTACGCTGGAGACTGGAAGTTCGCTGGGCGCGCAAGCGTCGGCGGAGAGATAACGAGGAGGGAAAGGGGCAAGGGCGCTGTGCGATGAACCCCCGCGGCCCAAACGGCCACTGATCTAAACATTAATCACGCAGCGGCAACCCAAGTGGGAGAGGCGAGGGGGGAGAGAGAAAGGAAGCGCGAACGACAGGCAGCAGCGGGCCAGAGCGAGCACAACGATAAGAACATACCCAGTTTTCTATCAACCCCAAAGTGAAAGCTGCGCTCTAGCACCTAGACCTCTTCTTGGTGGAGAGATCAAACACTGGCTTGTGCCCAGTGCCCCTAATATTCGCGCGGACCGCCCGCGAGACCTCCTCTTGCACCCTCGACGGACCTGGGCGGCGCCTGCGCTCTTCTGGCACAGCAGGCACATCGCCAGAAAAAGTCGTCGGCTCCCGCGAGAGGTGCATCTGCCACGAGGTCTGGTCGAAAAGCTCGAATGAGGATGTCGCGCCAGCTTTGAAATCGCAGTGCAGGACTCGTACAGTGGTGCGCGTGCTGAGAGCCCGAGTAGTCAACATCCGCTCACACGTCGCCCACACGTTCAGCTCCGCCGCCAACGTCCTCTTGTCGATGCGCGCGACCTGGCGGAAGTTGCTGTTGAGCATGTAATGGACCTGCTCGTTCCGCGTGGTCCCCACCCCGAAGACCTGGTTCTGCGCCTCTGTGAGGCGACTCCGGAAGCGGATATTGTTCATGTAGAACTCGGCCCTCCCTGGCTGGCACGCCGCCGCGAGCTGCGCGCGGAGCGTGCCCTTGTCGTACTTCACATCCATCCTCTCGGGGTAGACGCGGACCACCGCCGCGAGTAGCCCCGCTAACTCTCCCCTCGAGCGCATAGGAAGGTTCGGGTCCATGTCCTTCAACGCCTTCTTGGCCGTGCGGAAGCCAAGGTCGCCATTCCGAATGCGCTCGATGGACCTCATCTCCGCGGCCGTGGCGCGCGGCGCCGGGCCGCCGCAGAAGAAGGGCTCGCTGCGGCGGGAGATGTCTGGCACGCTGAACTTGCCCATCACCGCGCGCAAGATTAAGCCCACGGCTGTCGGCCGCATCCGGCGCTTCGATGTGTGGGTGTCCACCGCGAAGGCCAGGTGCATGGGGTCCAGTGAGATGCCCTCCAGGTTCGGGAAGAGTTCGACGAGCTCCCCATGCATCTTTCCCCCGGCGACGTCGCTCGCCACGTGCTGGACGAGACCGCGATACTCGGCGGGGACGGCGGCCGAGATGGCGTCGCAGAATGCCGTTGGCCGCTCGGCGTAAGACGGGCATAGGCTGAGCAGCTCGCCGTGGAACCCCAGCACGCTGAACACGTTGTGGCGCTGGAAGCGCGTCTGCCCAGGAACTTTGAGCGCCAGCTTGTACGTGGCGTCGACAGAGACTGATCTGAGGCCGCCGAGGTCCGCGCACTTCTTCACATGCGACATGCCAAAATCGCACATGGCGTTGGACTCGGCGATGTCGAGCATCAGCGCCGTCATGTCGCCAGTGTGTCTGATGGCGAGCCCCCCGACCTGGCATCCGCCGCGCGCCCAGTGCGACCGGACCAGGCGCATCGCTCGACTGTGCACACCGCCGGCCTCAAAGAGGAAGCGAGCGAAGGTATTGCCGAACTCCATCGTGTAGTAGTGGTTGCCGAATGGTCGAGCGGCCTCGAGTCGGTCGTCCGCCCGCTGCCAGTACTCGGGCCCGGCCCCCGTCAGAACGAACACCAAATCGCAATCTAACTTCTGGCCGGTTGCCGTGTACAAGGAGGCGTTGCTGCCGGGCGCCGTTTCGAAGCCGATCCACTTGGCGATGAGCTCTTCCAAGTCCCGCGTATCCCTCATACTTCCTCCTCCTCCTTGTCCTCCTCCTCCTCCTCCTGAGTGAGGAGGAGGAAAAGGATAAATGAGTGGGAGAAGAATGACGCCAGATTGAAGAAGCGAGGGGATAAGGTCCTGCAACCCAGGCGATCAGGAACCCCGGGAAAAACGGAGCCCCGAAACCTTCGAATTCTTACAAACCCGCGTCCAGGACCCTAGGGCCTCCACAACAGGGCCTCCACAACCCGAAATCCAGGCGACCAGGAATCCCGAAAACTCTGAACCACCAAAACTTTAGAATTTTTAAAATTTTTTACAAATTTTAAAAATTTAAAAAGCTTTTTAAATTTAAACAAATGTTTAAAAAATAAAAGATCCCAGGGCCTCCACATCTCAAAATCCAGGCGACCAGGAATCCCGAAAACCCTGGACCTCCAAAACTTTAGAATTTTTAAAAATTTTAAAAATTTTAAAAAATTTAAAAAAAAAACTTTAAAAATTTTTGAAAATTTTAAATATTTGAAAATTTAAAAGATCCCAGGGCCTCCACATCTCAAAATCCAGGCGATCAGGAATCCCGAAAACCCTGAAACTCCAAAACTTTAGAATTTTTTAAAACTTCTAAAAAAAATAAAAATTTATAAAACTTTTACATTTTTTAAATTTTTAAGATTTTTAAAAATCTAAAGAATCCCAGGGCCTCCACAGCCCGAAATCCAGGCGACCAGGAATCCCGAAAACTCTGAGGAGAAGTCTTGGGGGCTCCGCGATTCCATTGAGCCCCTCAGATCCAGGGAAGAGGAATAGGAGGAGGAAGAGGAGGAGGAAGGGGAGGAGGAAGAGAAGGAGGAGGAGGAGGAGGAGGGAGGAGGGCCGTTCGAGCCCCCAAGATGATATCCCGTCGTGGTCGTCCGTACCCCTCCCTCCCTCCCTCCCTCCCTCCCTCCCTCCCTCCCTCCCTGCACCCGTCCCTCCTCAACATTCACTTCCACGCCACCTCAAACTCTGCGTCATTTCCGTCCTCCCTCCTCCTCCTCCTCCTCCTCCTCCTCCTCCTCCTCCTCCTCCTCCTCCTCCTCCTCCTCCTCATCATCATCATCATCATCATCATCATCCTCATCATCATCATCATCATCATCATCATCATCACATCAAATCATCAGCATCGTAATCATCAGCATCATCATCACCATCATCAACATCATCATCCATCATCGTCATCATCACCATCATAAGCATCAGCATCATCATCGTCATCACCATCTCATCGTCATCGTCATCGTCATCATCATCATCATCATCATCATCATCATCGTCATCGTCATCATCATCATCATCATCATCATCATCATCATCATCATCATCATCATCATCATCATCCTCATCATCATCATCATCATCATCATCATCATCAGCATCATCATCATCATCATCATCATCATCATCATCATCATCATCAGCATCATCATCATCATCATCATCATCATCATCCCCTCCTCCTCCTCCTCCTCCATCATCATCATCATCATCATCATCATCATCATCATCATCATCATCATCATCATCATCATCATCATCATCATCATCATCATCATCATCATCATCATCATCAGCATCATCATCATCATCCGTAGCCATTTTGGCTCAAGTTCCAAACGCGTCCCTGGCGCTTGGAGCTTGGATGCAGCCGAGGGGGCGGCTCAAAGCCCCCGCGCTTTCTTCAGTGACAGTCACTTCAGGCGCCCAGCGGCGCCAGGATCCTGCCCTTCGCTCGGAGTCTGGGCCATGGGTGGCAGCGGACGTCGTTTGCAGCATGGGTTCCAGAAGTGCTCCAAGTGCCAGTACACGTGGACGTGGCGCACACGTTCGGCCTGCTTCAACTGCGGCCACTGCCTCTCGCCCGCGCCCTCGCCCGCCAGGTCGCCTGATGGTGCGTGGTCCGACCGGGCAGCGAGCGCCGACGCAGCCGCTGGCCGTGCTCGGCCTGCCTTTCGGCCACCGTGGCAGGAGGCCAAGCTGCGGCCCGACACGCGGCAGGTGCGGGAGGAGACGCTGCTCGAGACCATCAAGCGCCGCAAGGAGGAGCTCCCCCCGGAGGCGTCCCAGGCCTTGGCGGGCCTCGAGGCGGCGCTCCAGCAGCCCACGGCCACGGCGCCCAAGCCCGAGCTGCCCGACGAGGCCGCCCAGCGGGCATGGGGAGCGGCGCGTCGTGCGACCAAGGCGCTCAACGAGGCCCTCGACGCCACCGAGGGGGCCTGCGCCTGGCTCGCCAAGTGCCAGGCCAAGGAGGACGAGCTTGCGGCGGAGTACGCGCTCGCCCTCGAGGAGCAGGCGAGGGCCATCGCACACGCCAAGGGCTGCCTCAAAGGCGAGCAGGCCACTCCAGCATCGGTCTCGGTCAACCTGTCCTCCGTCCTCGAGGGGAGGGAGGGCCTCAACTTCGAGCTCGGGGTCGCCTTCGACCTCGACGGCATCTCGCTCACGGAGCAGGAGCAGGCCGACTGGGAGAAAACGCTGGAGCAGTTCAAGCAGGACTTCACAAAGCAGGTGGAGGCGATGTTCAAGCCCGCGGCTGAGGAGCTCGAGAAGCGGAGAGAGGGCCTCAAGAAGATGCAGGAGGAGTTCCGCGCCAAGACCAAGAAGCGGCGGATGGACTCTGAAGCTGCTCGGCCTGGTGGTGAACCTGACCCTCCTGGCGACGAACAGCGAGGCGCTGGGGGCGACGCAGCAGGACATACCAGCGACGCGGCTCCTGGGACGCCCAGCCAGCCTGAGGCCGCCCCAGCCCCCAGACAGCCCCAGCTGTCGGCAGAGCGGCTCGCAGAGCTCAAGAAGGCCGCGAGGGAGGTGCGCGGTCGCAAGCCAGGAGGCGACGCCAAGGAGAGCGCGCCCACAGCGTCTCCCTAGCAGCGGCGGGCGCCGTGGCGGTCGAAGCGCCTTGCAGCCGTTCACGTTCGACTCCGCCAACGGCTCAGGCTGGGGACCCCTCACGACCATATGGGGCAGGCCTCAGGAGAGGGCTCAGGAGCTGGCCAGGGAGGCCCATGCGGGTCAATGCTGGTTGGCCCAGGAGACCCACCTACACGAGGAGGAGGCAACCCGCGAGGAGCAGTGGCTGCGCAGGCAGGGCCTGCGGAATGCCCTCACGCCCGGCACCAGCCACCCAGGCAGCCTGGGCACGCAGCAGAGGAGGGCCGCCTCGGGCGGCACGGGAGGTGCGGTCTGGGCGGCGCGAGGCGCCGCTCAGCCCTTGCGAGGCGCCGCCGCTGGGCGGCGCACTTGCCTCCACATCGATGGGGCTCAAGCGAGGAGGAGCGCTGGCGGCCAGCGTCTACCTCGACATCGACCGCCAGGGTCCTGCGTCACGGGAGGTGCTGCGCACGCTGGGGCACGCGCTGAGAGCCTCGGGCAGGTCCTTCGTGATCGGGGGGGGGCGTCAACGTGGAGCCCGCCCTCTCCTCGGACGCGGCGCGTTTCGGGTTGGAGGCGGTGAGAGGCCAGGTCGCATGCAACGAAGAGGGCCTCGGCACCTGCCACGTCGCGGCCGACGCGCCGCCATCCGAGCTCGACTACTTCATCGTGGCCATCATGTTCGACGACTGCTCCCTGCGCCACACTGGCTCGGAGGCGCAGGTGGGCATCATGCTAGGCAAGGCGGCGTGCGCCGTCATCAGGGGCCTGGAGGGGGGCATAGGCGCGGTGGTCTCCAGGGACAAGTGCGAGATCCTGGGCACCACCGAGAGGTTGCACCGCCTCAGCGAGTACCACATGGACGAGGGCTCCTTCGCGCATGCCAAAGAGACCAGGAACTTGGGAGTGCGCTACGCCATGGGCGCCAGAACGGGGGAGGTGGCTGCTGGCCGACGCCAAGCCGCCGCGGCCCAGCCCGGCCGTGCCCACCAGGTACGACGGGCAAGGAAGGAAGCGGCAGTCAAGCTCGTCAATGCTGGACTTAAGCCCGCTACATCATACGATATCTCTTGCATAGCCTGGTCGTCACCGGCGCTGGCGGGATGGAGGTCCAAGCTCGCAGCCAGCGCCTTCGGCACGGGGCCTGGCAGGAGCACATGCCTCAGCTACCTGCTGGCCGCGAAGCCGTGGGACGACCCGCTCTTCGAACACATCGCCAAGCCCATGGAGGCGTGGGCGAGGGCGCTGCAGCAGGTCAAGGAGCAGGACAGGCGCGCCCTCGGCTCGGCCTTGGCGGCGGCGCGCGAGCGCCTCACCGCCAGCGGGCCGCAGCGGCCCTTGCCGCGGCGCGCCTCGGCTGGAGAGCTGACCGCATCAGGCGCTGGACGGACGACCTTGGGAGGATCCTAGACCTGCGCGAGACCGACAGGCACGCGTTCCAACGCGAAGTACAGGCTGCCCTTATCAGGAAGCTCTGGAGGGACGCGGCGAGCCACGACCCGCTGCGGGGCCACCTGAAGGACGGCGCGGCCATCAACGGCCTGAGGAGGCGGCTGGCGAAGCAGCTCGCTGACCACGCCCTTGCTTCGCGGCGGTCCTCGGCCAGGCAATGGGAGGCAGACGACCTCAACATCAGCTACTTCTACGACACAGGCGGCCCGCTGGACTCGGACGCGGAGCACGCCATCTGGTCGCGGTGCCTGGTCAAGGACCCGCGCAGTGACCTCCCCCTGCCGCTCACGGCGCGCATTGTGCGCACAGCGGGGCCGTGGGCGGGCGAGCCGCTCCATGGAGAGGTCTTCCTGGACGGTGCGGCGGCCCACGCCCAGGACCGAGTTCTGGCGCGAGCGGGATGGGCAGCTTGCTCGACGGACCACACGGGCGCCGTGACCTCGTCGATCCTGGGGCCAGTACAATGGCCGCTCGCCCAGGAGTCGGGCTTGGAGGAGTTGCTGGCGGCAGTGGAGGCCTTGGCCCACTGTCTCCCGCCCGTGCACCTCTTCAGCGACTCGCAGCTGCTCGGAGACGGCTGGGAGGCAGGCGAGGATTGGTGCCTATGCTGGTCAAGACCGTACAGAGGCCTGTGGACCGCCTTCTGGAAGCGGGTCCACGACATAGGCAAGGACGCCATTCAGACCACAAAGGAGAAGGGGCACGCCACGATGCATGACGTCCTGGTCGGGTCCTCCACGG